GTAGGCCATATTTTGGACATGTAGAGAAATTAGCATATACGGCTATGTTTGAAGGTCTAGAAATGACGAAGTAGGATGCCATTTTAATTTAATCTTTCAAGAGGAGTACATATGTATTGTGTATCAAATAAGGGCTTGTGGAGGTTGGGGTCTTGTGTCGCTGTTGTATACATGTCCCTAAAAGTAGGCCATTTTTTAAGAGCAAATGTCTGTAATGATCAAACAATAGTGAGCGGGGTCAAAAATCGATTTGGCTCATATTTTGTACAGTGATAGTACTTCGCCCAAAACCCCTTGAAATAGCTTTCTTTCCGCTCAAACCCCATCGTTGCCATGGCAACAGCCCATTCAAGTTTTGGGGCCATTTTGACAGATTTATGCGTCTCTAAAAACACGGAAATTGGACAAAGTTTTAGGACGCGGTCACCGCCATCTGCTTTTAACGAACGACAAATACTTCAGGATATAATTAGACCAATGGCTTAACTTGTACGAAATTAGTGTGAAGTTCATGTACATGCAGATTTCAGTCTTTGGGCAACCTCGAAGTAGGTCATTTTCTGCACTTGTACCCAAATTTGGATTTCGGGCTGTTTTTGAGCTGATGAAAATACCAAAGTGAATTTATTTTCAGACCTATCCTTCTACCATGTGTTTATTATAGTATTGGCTATCACATGGGTGATTTTGAGGGCTTCCTTTTTTGTTCATGTCGCATATGCCTATTTCTGTAAATGTTTAAAATATGGCCTACTTTTAGTGACAAGTATACAACAACGACACAAGGCCGCAACCTCCACAAGCCCTTATTTGATACACAATACATATATGTACTCCTCTTAAAATATTGAATTAAAATGACATCCTACTTCGTCATTTCTAGACCTTCAAACATAGCAGTTTTTTGCTAATTTCTGTATGTACGTCCAAAAGATGGCCTACTTTTAGGGAAAAGTACACACCAACGACACAAGACCTCAACCTCCACAAGTATTCATTTGATACACAATACATATATGTACTTCCCCGCAAAGATTGAATTCAAATAGCATCTAACTTTGTAATTGTTCTTTCTAGAGCTTCAAACATATGTCAAACATATGTCAATTTCTGTACATGTTTAAAATATGGCCTACTTTTATGGACAAGTGCACACCAACGACACAAGAATTCAACCTCCACAAGTATTCATTTGATATACTATAAATATATGTACTTCCCCGCAAAGATTGAATTCAAATAGCATCTAACTTTGTTATTTCTAGAGTTTCAAACATAGCCGTATATATCAATTTCTGTACATGTTCAAAATATGGCCTACTTTTAGGGACAATTGCACACCAACGACACAAGACCCCAACTTCCCCAAGTATTCATTTGATACACAATGCATATATGTACTTTCCTGCAAAGATTGAAGTCAAATGACATCCTACTTTGTGATTTCTGGAGCTTCAAGCATAGCCGTATATGTCAATATCTGTACATGTCCAAAATATGGCCTACTTTAGGGACAAGTGCACACCAACGACACAAGACCCTAACTTTCCACAAGTATTCATTTGATATACAATACATATATGTACTTCCCTGCAAAGATTAAATTCAAATGACATCCTACTTTGTTATTTCTAGAGCTTCAAACATTGCCGTATATGTAAATTTCTGTAAATGTACCAAAACATGGCCTACTTTGAGGGACAAGTGACACACCAACGACACAAGACCCCAACCTCCACAAGTATTAATTTAATAGACAAGACATAGTGTTACTTTGGGCAAAAGACTTTATCAGATTGCTTTCTTTCTTTTGTAGATATTGTATCCTGAACATGGCTAAAAATCATATTTTCCCTCAAATTGAAAATTTGACCTACTTCTAAGGCCAACCACGTGACAACCAAAGAAGTGCCCAAAGTTTGCAACCATGCATTTTATAGCACATATGTTAATGTATCTATGATTCAAATTTGAAGCAAAAAAAATCACCATCTTTGGACTTACAGCTCTTTGAAGTTGGAAGAAATAACGCTTTTTCATAAGCCTCAAACACTTGTATTGTGTTTATGGTTGCCCAGGTCCTTTAAACGAACTTCTTGAAAATTTCAAAGCTATTCTAGAATAGCGGATTAGTTGGTCTTTCATGCCCATACTTTGTTTTTCCATACTAATGAAGCACTTGCTCGTAATCGTGCCTTAAACTATGCCAAATTTCATGTTTTTCACATGTCTAAATCAGGGAAAATGGCCCCGAAACATGTTTGGCCCGTTACCATGGCAACGATCGGTGCTGACCGGAAAGAAAGCTATTTTGAGGGGTTGTGGGCCAAGTACTATCACTGTGCAAAGTTTGAGCGAAATCGATTTTTTGACCCCTGCCACCATTGTTTGATCCTTACAGACATTCGCTCTTAAGATTCAAAATCTCCGAATTCTTTTTTTTTATTGTTCAGGTTTGGATCGTCCCTCTGAGTTACAGGTTAAAGCGGCATCATCTTCTTGGATGTATGTGGTGTGGACTCCGCCCGTTGTTTCTGTTGTCTCCTACGATATCGAAGTAACCGAACCTGATATTCACATAAATATACATTTAAGGTAAGAAAAATTACCATGCCGCAAAATGAGTAGAAATAGTATTGTATAGTATGTTTTGTTTTAAAAGATGTTCCACAGATTTAAATACTTATTGTCTTATTTCAATGAATTTATTCAAACAGTTCTTGCTAGTCCGATGCATGAACTAATAGATAATTACCGTTTACTATATAATAACTTGACTTTGTACATATATGCAACATATGGAAATGTCTGAATTTATCACCAAATATTGGAAAAGTATTATACGTGGAAAAACACGTATTCAACAATGCACGTTTTATTCGTAACCTGTACTGATTTTTGATGAGTAAGAAAGTATCGTTTTGGTTGGCTAAGGCAAGTGTTTGTGTTTCTCTTTGTTTGGAAAAAGTAAACTGATAGGGCGTGGATGGGGAAGATTGGCAGGCAGAAGTAATGAGAGCCTTGGTTCAGACATTATAAATGGTATTACCGTGATAACAGTAGCCAGTGGGTTATAGGGGTCGACATGTGGGTATTCAGGAAGCTGGGGATTGCATAAATATTTCAGGAAAGTTGAAAATCTCAATTCAATTTATTGAACTAGTAATTACAAGTCAGGTAATTACAAGTTTTGGTCTGCTTCTCAAGTAATCCTCGATACACATGGAAATACATACAACAAATACACAGTACGTAAACTATTACTAAAACAACATCCTAAACATCAACAGTGTCATCTCTTGAAGATTTTGTTAAATATATGTTGTTACAGCATACCGCCAGTTTTTACTGGGTTCAACATAACAGGGCTCCTTCCTATGACGAAGTACACTATTCGACTTTCTGCAGTTACCAAGTACGGACGCAGTGCCAAAGCTGTGAGCCACGGCAGCACGGGTACGTTTCAAAACACTTAATGAAACATATGGGGTATTATTATTACACGTTTATCCCCCAGGGGATAAATGCTGGGATGTATCATGTACTACAGCAATAACAAAAGGCTAATATCAGGTCTAAGGTATAAAATGCTGAAAACTTTGTAAAGTAGTATCGATTTAAGTTCTAATGGGTTATTCTCTCTTTTTAAAACATTTTGAATTATGTTCATGAAAACATCCATATTTGTACATGGCATATATTGAAAAAAGAGTCTTGTTTTGATTTTTTTTGGTTGAGCTTAATCGAAAATGAAAATTTTCTAAAGAGTTCCAAGTTTAATAATACATCATTTTAACATTAATAACATTTTATATAATTATATATTATTTCTATCAGTAAATATTTATAATTCATGCTAATGTGACAAAATTATTGGTCAATATCCAAGATGGCGGACTATATATTTAGCTGTTGTGTAACCATATTTTTTCCACTAATTTTTCACGAATTCGTCTTAATTCCGTGTTTTTTTACATGAAACGTTCATATGAGTATCTTTAGTCCATTTGCGATGCGTTTTGAGGCAAAATCTTGAAAAAATTAAATTTCCAAAATTAAAGATTTTCGGTCCAAGATGGCCGACAGCTTAATTATGCATGGCGTCATTTTATGACGTCAGTGTTGTTGCCAAGGACAACACAAGTATTAGCAGACTTAAGTATTTCATCATAGACACTTTTTGTTAACGTTTGGTTGTATTTCATTAAGTTTTACGGAAAAACAATTTTTGACGGTTTTACCCCCCCAAAATCACAAATATAACAAAAAATTGTTTTAATTAATTAAATTAAAATCCTGCAGCGATTTGGTGGCCCTATAATAAGTGGTTGTTGAGTTACAGGGGGCGGGCCTCCAAAGCCACCCCCCCCCCGTCTGAGCATGCCCCAAAAAAGCCCGGTCTGAATAGGATTAACCCAAAAAGCGTATGCCTCATTCTCTGAAAATTTGGTAACCCTACGATAAATGGTTGTTGAGTTACAGGGGGCTTAAAAGCCCCCCCCCCCTCTCCTCGGTCTGAGCATGTAAAAAAAAACCCGGTCTGAAAGGGTTCATATATGATACTAAGTATTTGTTTGTTTCTAGTTGATGTGGTACTAGATCCGACACTACCTGTTTTGGAGCCAGCAGGCACCTTGTTCACAACAGCGGGCACCCCACTGACAACACAAGACAGCCATACTTTGCAGAGATATTTGACCACTTCTAAGATAACACGTGATAACACAATTTATATACATAATATGTTTCGACGGATAGTTAAGTGTCAATTTAGGCCACACTGATTTATTTTTATGGATGGCATCCCCTGATGACCCCCAAACTAGTGAGCGCGGGCGAGGAAAAAAAATTCCGGCCAAAAATAAAACTGCTACTAAATCACAGGAATACAAAGCTGGTGTTGTGAATTTGCGACAGTATACAACAAGCTGGTACATGCTGGCTTTTTGCGGCATTTACGAATCGGTACTATACCGTTACTGAGTTCTTGAGTCGTAGAGAGTCGAATTAGATAGCCTGGGTGCTCGGCTCCGTTTCGTCGCTGACTAGCATGGACTACCCAGACCTAGAGCCTCGGTGGAGGAGATTTTTTTTGAGGGCGACAGGCGAAAATCAATGCCCGCGAGGATGTCATCCATAAAATTAAGTCGGTGTGGCCTTAGTAGCAAAAAGTTCATTTGCTACTGTTAAGCACTATTTGTCATTCATTTTTTTTTCACACAAACGACATTATAGTCAGAAAGTTAACCATATTCAGACAAGAGCGTTTTGAGGCCGGTGCCATTTTTTGCCGTGCAACGACTGAACAGTTTTCGCTAGAGCTATTTTGACGCAGTGTAAATTTAGCAAACCTTTACATTAAATCATATTTTTTTGTGTTTTGATGTAAGCGTGTGGTACGTTTTACAATATACTTTTGGGAGCAGTTTTAGCCAATAAGTAACATGAATGACGTAACACAACGCAATTATACGTTGTAATAACTCCAATATTGCAATGATGTAATTATAAATTACTAGGAAAAGATAAGTAGTTTAGAGGTCATACCCTAAGTAGCATAAAAGTTACAGAATGTGAGCCTTAAATTTGCTTAAAACCGGTATGTTTTTGTTACAGACACAGACACGAGGGATTTTTTCAAACCACCGCCACCTGAGATGGACAATCCAGAGTTAACCTCTATAATTCCTGCAACAGGTTAGTCTAGTTAACACGCATTAACATCAAATGATAAACACCCCAAAGTTATAACCGTTTAAAACTCTCCAACCCTATATACGTAGTGAACCTAACAGAAATCAAATGTTTACTTAAATACCACGCGCAAGAAACATCTAATCGACGACATAATATTAGTTGTTTTTGTTTCTTGTTGACAATGTTTAGGTTTTACTACGTCTGTTTACTTGTGACCATGCCTCGGGAATGAGTTTGCAAGAAATTTATTTTTTTGTTGTGATTTATATTCATAACCACTGAAATTAGCATTAAATACTAGTATGCATGATGCCTGTAAATGTAGTTTGTTTGGTATACTGTGTTATTAGTAAGCGAAATGGCATAAACTTCTGAAAATAAAACCGTTTTTGGATACAAGCATCAAACATAATACTTTTCTCACTGATAATATTGATTACATTGTTGCCGTATTGGTTTGCAGGTACAAACCCTAGTACCACCGTACCAACAGTGTTCTTAACCCCAGAAGGTATGTATCAATGAAATGCTACCTGATACTGATCACTCTTGAACAATTAATTTTAATAATCACCATTCAACATTTAGCCATATGTCTATATTCACTACAACTAGTTTATAGATCTTTGCTTTTTTTGTTTGTTCTTTTCTGTATATAATTGTTATTGGGTAATAATAGATTATCATACGTTATCCATGTTACTTTTTTAGCTCAAGGAAATGGCAGAGGGGATTCGTCTACATCTGAAGCAAAATTGAGTCCTTTTCAAGTGGTAGAATCATTATTCTTACCAATCGTTTTACATTTCAAATGTATATATCTTTTGTGCTAGAAAGATATTTCTTACATAGCACAGCTTGTTTCTTTCGGATTCCCTTGCAAATAAGATTTCCAAACATGTATAAAGTAAGCTAATGATGTGTGTATTTTTCACTTTCTGAAATTCCGTGTAGATGAAGCATCTGGAGGATGAAATGAGTGGATTCGGTACGAAAAAATGTCATTAGAAATCCTGATTAGAGTTATTACAGAGATTGATAAAATACTCCAACCAGACACGGCACTATCATCCTCAACCGGACTACCTCCCGAACTGGTATGGCACTGTTACAAATCTTAGAAGTATATCTTCGTTCTGTTGACAAATTACATTACAGTATTTATTTCTACGATTGTATCATGACACCTATCCTACTTTAAGGATATCACCATAGTATATTAAACTTTCCTGGCCACGAAAAAAAGTAGTATCTGTATTATTGCTTGCAATTAGCATACGGTTTTACATGCACACCACAAAATTCTCTGGGTCGAATCTATCAAGCTGTGAGAGGAAGCGATCACTCACTTTGAAACCCAAGCATACAAAACTAGAATAAAATAGTGCCACCGAAACTGTAGTTTCGTCCTGGAAGTAATAAAGTTCGTTATTATACCCGGGTTTGACTGACATTGCGATACCTCCACTTTCAGCTACCTTTCTTGGGGGACATTTTACCGCACGCGGGCGTTACGGTGATAACATGTCAAGGGTCGAGTGTAGTCGATATCGCCTTCCGTCCAGGTCAAGAGTGCTTCGCAATAGCATCTGTGCTTATACCTGATTGGTTAAAAATCACAATTTCGCCTACTTTTTAACAGGTTCTGGGTATAGAGCTGCTGAGGAAGTCATCGGATCTTCTACGATCAACAGAAGGCGCCTCAGTTTCAGCAATGGAGTCAGTTAATGAAGGTAGATGGCCATATATAACCTAAATGTTTTTTTTTAGTTTGATATTATCGTCATACCACTCGCACCATGCGTACTGTATTGAGTGCTATTACGTGATATTATGTTAACATTTAGGGCGTATACTACTGGCTTATCAGTGCATTGGAAAACTATTTTTATTGACAACACATTTTTATTGGTTATGTGTGTGTGTTATTAGCAAAGTTAGGCTGACGTTTGTGTTAAAAAGTTATGTGAGGAATTTTAATAAAACTATGTGATTTAGTTAATATTTTATTTTTTAAACTCTATAAAAGCTCTCAAAGAAAATGGCTTACTGACAACCTAACTATCCTTTTCTCGTTTGCTTTTGTTGCCATTATTTTCACATGTAAAATTAATGTTTTCATTGATAGTTATCGTGGTCCTGTTTCAGCCGTAGTTCACACTGTGACTAGCCTTGTTCAAATGCTGCCAGCGGAACGTCCAACACTCCTTGACGAGTCGTCACCTCTATTTGAGATGGACATCATTGATGTTAACTCGGTGGACGTGTCTCCGAAACAACAGCTAAAGAACATAAAATACCAGCAAAGGACAAATGAGCAAAAGGTTGGTTTAAAACCTCGTATTCTACCCATTTCAATCTACAAGGCTACATGCAGTGTCCTTTGTGGACTTGTAGTTTAATAACGTGGCTGAATAATAGAATTATGAAATTCGTTTTACTTCTTTTTTTTTAATTCGAAGGCAGGACTGTGGAAGGACAAGATATCGAAATCCTTGTTGTACGAGAAATATCATTGAAACAAATTGCCTTGTATTAGAACTTAACATATCTATTTGTATTTAACATGCAGCTTCGTCACGCTCGATTTTCTATGGTGGAAACCATTGAAAATGCAGCAGACAGTCTACTAGCCATTCTCCCAGATACAGAAGACTACTTGAAGACATTTGAATTAAACGATACTGTCGTAACGATTGCCAGGTCTATTACCAATAATAAAGTGGAGCTGCAAGGTGGCCAAGTTAACATGTCGGCGTATATTACAAATTGTGCTTTAGATGACCATGTAGATGCTAAGGTCAGTGGATTTTATAATAAATTATCATCAATTGCCTGACCAGCAATCACATTTATTATTGCCATGGCTTCTGCATCATTTCCAATGCAATTATTGCATTACACCATTGAACCACTGGACAGTGATGATGTATTGTTGTAAGGAAAATAAAAAAAAATGACATTTTAGTATTAGAACCAACATAAAAGGCATTGCTGACATTCAACTGTGACGTAAGCACTAATATATTTAATAACTTAAGACTCATTATTCAGAGGTAGCCCATTAATTTACTGCAGAATAGGTAATTTTAACTTTAAAATTAACGCAATAGCATCCAACAATGTGTTCCGTATTTTGTTGTAGATGGTTGTCACAAAGAAGAACATGTTTTCCTGGAACGCGTCTACCTCCCAGGAAAATATCACCACGCCTATGACAATGTTTTCTATTGGGCATCCACGCTTTGACGACTGCTCTGTGCAGCTGGAACTCTCGATCCCAGTCTCTTTTGGACCTATTGAACAGCTAAGACGTCGGAAACGTGGCATTCGGGAACCTGGTTATGTTGGGACCCAAGTTGCATTGGATAACGCGACAATGACCTACCATGTTTTTGATGTCCCAGCTCCAACTGTTGTTGTCGTCATGCATATGTCGTGGTGGGATCACGCGGCATCGTTTCAAGTTTTCTTCCGCTACGATTCGCCACCAACAGAAGAGCTGTATGACGACAGGAAGGTAGTTAGGGAAGAATACAGTCCTGCTTGGCTTCAAGACACAAACAGCTTACAAACGTTAACTCCGGATATCCCAAGACGGAAGGGAAAACTGTACATTGGCGTACAGAAAGCAGGTAATGCTAACAATAACTGTTGAAAAAGTATGTTTACATGCAAGTAGAATTCGGAAATATCATGGGAAGTTTCTAATCCTAAGCTTGCTAAGTTCTCCCATGTGGACCCATTTGATATTATACACGACGAGTTATTAGGTTACAGGCTAATCATTACATTAATGTTTATCATTACTTCATATCCATGATGGGTCCATCACAATGCCATGTACATCTGTTATATTGCATTTGAAAAGTGTGTATATTAGTTTTATCCTATTCTCATGTGTTTTATCCAATTGTTTTTTTAGTGCTGGCACTAAAAATACTAGTTAGTTAACTAGAGACGCGCTAGTTCGACTGTATCTGTCTATCACAGAAAGTTTTACAATAACGTAACAGCATCATATGCACCACATAGTTAACCCTACCTAGACCGGGGAAGGGGGGGGGCTAAAAGTGCCCGCGGCAACTTTGATGTCACCTAGCGTCTGAACGGCTAGCCGTAGAACGGCCAAACTTCGTGACTTTTCCTAGAATATTGTTGGCAACAATTCTCTATCATTGGAATAAGATAATGATTTTTTGTGTTGCCATGGCAACGGGTTTCTGACAGGCGTTTTTTGCTAAATTTAGTACTTTTTGTTTCAACAATAGAATTTTATGGGTTTTATGTCAAGTTACTCATGGTTTCTAATATCAATAACGTCCCATATAATTTTATGTAAATTTTGTCATTAAATATGCATAATTTATGCTAATTTGATGAAGTCATTGGCCAAAATCCAAGATGGCGAACCATATCATTACTACATATCATTAGAACAGGTATATACAGGTTATTTTCATTAAAATTTCATCAATACTTCCATTTCTTTTTCCAAAAAAGGTTTAAATGAAGGTCTTTAGTATGTTTACAATGTATTTTAGGCTTTATCATGAAAAAAAAACTATTTTTTAAAATTCACGATTGATGATCCAAGATGGCGGATATATCAAATATGCATGACGTCATTTTATGACGTCACCGGTGTTGCTATGGGCAACATAAGACTTAGTACACCATAATATTTTCTGTCATAAACACTTTTGGTACAGTTATGTTGAATACCATTTAGTTTTCAGGGAAAAACCTATTTGGACGGTTTTGGCCAATAAAATCACATTAATGACGTCATAATGACGTCATATTACGTCATAACGACATAAAAATTGTAGATATGATAAATTTTCACTAGTACACCATTCTCTGAAAATTTGGTGGTCATACGACATACCGTTCGCGAGTTCTTAGGGGTGGGTCAAAAGAGCCGCCCCCCCCCCGGTCCCCCATGTCCAAAAAAGCCCGGTCTAGGTAGGGTTAATCATATAGCCATGTGATTTTTCCGTTTAACTGATGATTTACTGCAATTTGTTTGCACAGATTTTTATATAAAATGCCATTTATGTCTGATTTTGGATATTTCTTTAGGGTCTTACATTATGCAGCAAACAGCAGCCGCACCCGAAGATTACGTACTTCAAGTATCCATAGCAAGCTGCAATAGTCGGGATTATACATTAGAGGAATCGCAAGACACCGACTGTGGGGTGAGATCATTACATTAGAACTTTGATTCGGTGTCCATATCCATATCATTGAAATAATGTGTATTAATGTCTTTACCATTACAATCATGTGTTGACCAGGTGGGATGAGGTAAGAATCATCACCATACCGTTCTATACGTAATGGCAAAAATGATGTTTTTTAATGTTAAACCAAGAGATAGATAGGTGTTTTGGGTATTAAGTTAATATTAACGTTTTTGGAGTAGTTTATTTTATTTTTTTTTATTTTTGCCACTGATTTTTCAGGGAATGGGCGAGGATTAACGTCTTCCCTTGCTCCATAAATGGTTGAAATTTGCTTTCAGCTAATATTTTGTTTCATTAAGTTTGGTGTCTAGATAGATTGCGTACCTGTTAAATATGTTGCTCCAAAGTCTAAAAAGCAAAGATTAGTTTCTATCTATATAAGGACAAACACGTAGAAATAAAAGAGAAATTAAGTCTTCCATACTGTGAATTTGGTACGTAGCAGTCCTAACATGTTGTTGGTATGAAAAATGGCCCCAAAACCCAAACTTCTTTGCCATTTTTCTGTCAGCATGTTGGCTTAATTAAACTGTATTGAAAGTATTCTTTATGCCAAAAAGTAAATAATTATTCTGAAAATTATAAGTCAACATTTATGACTGATGTTATTTATCGTTTGGCCCACATATTTCATAAAAAAGTCAATGGCGTTATACCATTCCATACCTCTAATGTGGTAGTAATTTTTTTTTCATTTCTTTTTGACATTAGGTCCATGTGGATACATCGGCTAGTACTATCAAATGCAGCTGCAACATTCCCAAACAAAAAGCTGTGATTGGTGGCTCATCGCAGTTTCTTCCGAATTCCATTGATTTTGACAACATCTTTAAAGATCCCGACATTCTCAAAGACAACAACATCGTTTTTTACACGGTTATTAGCGTGTGGGCTCTCTACTTCATAATGATGATTATACTCAATGTGGACGTTCGGCGTCTTCGTGTGAGTACATATTGTGAACAAATGAAATAATGTTTACACTCATGCCTTTAATATAATAAAATGATTAAACACTTCTAGATCAAACTACAGTGATGTAACCGTATGGTATTTCGGTACATCTGCAATTATTTTGTTATTGCAATGTATTTTCTAAACCCAATTATTGTTTAATGTGGTATATTTCTAAATTTAATATTTCATTCTCACAGGGAAAGGTGACTGAAACAGCGGGGACCGGCAATAAAAAGCCATTACCATTGCTGTCTGTCCTCCCCCCGGACAGGATGCCAGCCCCTTATCTATACCAGATCACCGTTAACACTGGCCTCATGTTTGGTGCTGGAACATCGGCGAGGATCGGGTTCAAAGTGTTCGGATCAAAGAGTAAAACCGCGGTCAAGATTATAAACCCAAGCGGAGAAGTAAGTTTGTGAATTCCAAAAATACAAAAATCTAATAATTCACACTTTAAGTAAATTTGCAATATTACCCAAAGAGGAATCCACAAAGCTAAACATTGCAAATTAACCCGAAATCACTATTGTCGCTAGTTACAGATCCCCTCTTGTAAGCGACGGTTAATTTTTGGAAGCTGACCTATAGCAAACAAGGCTGGATTTCCAGTCTTTTTTTTCAACCATGACTCCCCGATCTCTTTTTTTTTATGTCGGCCATTTTTTAATCAATTAGAACCTGGGGGATTCACTTTTACTCCGTTTCCAGTGTCTTTTTATTTCATCCTGCCATTCTGACTGTAACCTTTCCACACCCACATACAGTCAAGCTACTCTGTTCAGAGAAACAGATAGACTAACCGGCATCTCGGCCGCCAAAACTTCCGAATTCTGTCAAGAAAAAACAAGGTCGTTGTTCTTAAGAACGGCAGTGGAAACAGTTTTATACGTTAACCGTAATAGGACATCTAGAGTTAAAAAAATACGCTTCAATATCTTTTGCAGGTCTTGCTGCGAGGCGGCACGTGTGAATTCATCATGCCTTTAAAAGCATCACTAGGAGACTTGGAACGTTTGCATATCTGGCACGATAATGCTGGTGGTGGTGACGATGCATCGTGGTTTCTGAAGGACCTAATAATAAAGGACCTGCAAACAGAGAACATGTAATTAAGGATTAGGCAATTGACATTTCCTTGTTGTGACCTCTAGTACTCTTTGACCCTTTCTAGACTTGGGGGGGGGGGGGTCTTAAAGTGACAACAAATTCAGAGTGTGAGATAAATTGAGATTTTTCGTGTTGCCATGGCAAACGGGTTTTTAAAAGGCATTTTTTTTAAATCAGTGATTTTAACTTAAACTTTTTAGGCTTTTAGGTTAATTTACACAGGATTTCTAATATCACTAACATACTATGTAATTCTAAATAATTTTGACAATATTTATGCATAATTTTTGCTAATTCTGTGAAGTCATTGTCCAAAATCCAAGATTGAGGACCATATGCTTAAATCAGTTTTTTCCGGCTATCTTTTTTTTTAATTTCACCCAACTCCATTTTTTTTACAGAAAATGTTTATATGAACCCCTTTAGTCTATTTCCATTGTATTGTTAGGCTTTTTGAAAAACAATGATTTTTATAAATTTAATATTAATAGTTCAAGATGGCGGATAGTTGATATGCGTAGCGTCATTTTATGACGTCAGTGGTGTTGCTATGGGCAACATACAGTTAAGTAGACGTTAATATTCTATCGTGAGCACTTTTTGTTAAACTTGTGTTGTATACCATTCGGTTTTACAAGAAAAACGGTTTAGGAAATAAATGAATGGCTAAATGAATGGCACCATAATGACCTCATATTACGTCATAATATCAAAATTGTTTATATGATTATTAATTACCGGTTAATCATACAAAATCGGTGGTCATATGACATACCGTTATCGAGTTTTGAGGAAGTGAATGAGCAACCCCCCGTCCCAAAGATACCCCAAAAGACCAGTAAAGATAGGGTTTATGTAGTTTGCGTTGCAATTTTTTTTTAGTAATCCTAATTAAATGGCGCACGTACCACCTTTAAAACGGCTACAATAACAAAATATCTTTTTTTTAATGTAATCCATTCATTTGGCTTTGGATCTGTTTTTTTCGTCAACAAGAAAGATTAGCAATGATTGTTTTTGTCAAAAGGAATTTGTCGATTTTAAAACATGTTAAACAAGAGTTCCACGATCTCATACCTTCGCCAAATGATGTTAACCCTTGCGGATGACGAATTCATTATACAATTTTAATAATTGATTTTGTAAATAAGCGCCTCATTTGCATGGATTATATCAGTTGATCATATTCTCCACCCAATGACAGCCTTACCTTAACAAAAAAGATATTATAGCACTGCCTCATAAATTATGCAAATGAGGTCATGATTTAAATAAATTATGTTTATTGATGTTCACCTTCACTTAACTTCCAAATG